TGTGTGTGTGTGTGTGTGTGTGTGTGTGTGTGTGTGTGTAGAGAGCTGGCTGGCTGACAAGCCTGCACTGTACATGGAGCCAGACTGGTTACCAGGCAGGCTCTGCTACAGAGCAGCCAAGACCATGAGTGCAGCCAAAAAACTGAACCAAACTGCTGCCCTGTAGAGACGCCTTCATGCAGGTGTTCCCGGAATTAGAGGAATCTGTCACACACTGCACTTCATCATTCCCAACCATACTGACAGCTTGTATGCTGGTATACTGAAGAACATGGCCTACACTGTCGCTGCTTTTTGCAGATATCTCCATGCAGGCGGGGGAGGCAGAATTAGCTTGATTTGTCTGTGTTTGACCACACTCCAGATTTCTATTGTATTCAACCGTAAACCGTTTAGATCCTGTAATTTCCTCCTTCTTTCCAGCTTGCGTTGACATACGTCAACCGCTGCCAGTCTTCCTGTGCCCACATAGTCATTGTACTGTCAAAGTATTACAGTTACTTACAATAATTGATATACTAAAAGCCATTTGTGACATATATCATTTTATGTTTCCACTCAAATGTTAATAGACTTCCTAACACACTCAAGTCACACACGCTGACAAGTCAGCTGCAACAGATGTGGGTTGAAATATGATTTTTAATTTTCCAATTACATAAATAGCAGTGCGGTGGGCAGGCAGGCCAGAACATTAGAATCAGTGCAGGTCACGCTCATGTTTTTGTATTATTAATGCTGAGATCTTTTCTGTCATTTTTTTTCCTCTGTTTTGTGGGCTGACTGTGAAATCGTGAAGCCCTGTTTGTGCTGAGTCAGAACCAGACACTGCTCTCTCTCTCCCGCTACCTCTCTTTCTCTCCCTGTGGGTAGGTGGGTGTGCTGTATGTGGTCCCGCAATAGTCAAATGTTTCTAGGATGAATCTCAACCATAAAATGCTCAGCTCTCAAGATGTTGTTCCTTCCTAGGCAAGGAAAGATGTCTGAGTCTCTGTCAGGAACATGGGCCTGGTTTCACTTAAGAACCGCTGGTTGGGTAACACATGTTCTGTTAGAGTCATGAATGTGCCTTTGTTAAATACTTTCCTCTGTTGCAAAACGAGTCCACGGACAACGACGAGCTTGAGAAAGCCCTACCATCTGATTCTCAGCTCCTTCTGAGTCACTGTGTCTCGCCACCGCTGCGCTGTGTAAATGTTCCACACAAGACTGAGGGAGATTTGGAGATAAGGAATTATGTAATTAAGCAGTCTCTCATATAAGAGAAAGTTTGTTTTAAAGAACTAGTTTAGACCAGATCAAAATTCTGATTATTTCATACAACTATGTCAGGAAGAATCTTACTCTACTGTACAAGAACTGTGGTTAGGTACTTAACTTACAATGTGTGTCCATTTAATGGTACTTTGTACTTCACAATTATGCACAGAGATATGTGAAATTTGTTCTTTTTGATTGGATGGGTGTAGAAGCCTGTTGCCTATTTAACAAAGACTGTATGTTGATAATACAACACATGATTAGTATTTAAAGCAGCAGTTACCAAATTTTTTTTGAATTGTGACTCTTTTTAAAATCAAGATCTGACTGAGGTGCAGAATTTAATTCAAGTGGTATAACAGAAGTATTGCATTAACTGTCCAGGAATTACGGGCTTTTTTTGTTTTGTTTTGGGGGGTTTGCATCGTTTTCCATTTTCAGAGGCTCAAAAGTTATTGAACAATTGCCTGACATTTGGATTTATGGCCAGTTAGTGCCTTAAGTTAAATTAAACTGCCATAGTAAATTTGACAATTTTCAATATGAGGTCTAAGAAATGTCAATGAAAGTAAAGGTGGCCATTATTAGGCTGAAAATAAACCCGTCAGAGTGACAACAAAAACTTTAGGAGGGGACAAATCCACAGAAAACACCTAAGTGGATGATCACAGATTTTTTTCATTGGCCCTTTCCTTGTGTTTCGTGTGTTACAGCATCATTGTACTATTTGCTGTGTTTTCTTAAGTTCGAGTGCATTTGACCTTTCAGGGCTGCTGTAAAAAAAAAACACAAAGAAACCCTTCACAGCATCTATCAAGATGCAGAGGACTCTAAAGTATCTAGGCGTACCATTGCCAGAGTCTACAATCAAGAGACACCTCAATGAATGTAAATTCAGAGGGTTTACAGCATAATACTCACCACTAGTTACACTCAATAACAGAAAGGCTAGATTAGACAGAAAACATCTAAAATAACCTAAAACAGATTAAATAGAAATGATCTTCTACCAGAATGATGGGAAGAGAAAAGAGGAAAGGAGCTCAGCTCATGACTTAAAGCATACCGCATCATGCTTCAAACACGGTGCAGGCGTGGGAATGTATAGCTGCCAATGCCAGCTAGCGTTTACTGATGATATGACTGCTGATGAAAGTAGCAGGGCTATACTCTCGTGACCCAGAGCATATGCAAAAGCAACCCAGGAGGTTATCGAGGCAAAGAAATGGGATATCCGTCAAAGGTCAAGTCAGTCACGTGATCCCAACCCAATAAAGCAGCTTTTCATTTATTGAAGACAAAACTGAAAGCAGAGAGATTCACAGACAAGCAGCAGCTGCCGGCGTCTGCAATAAAGGCCTAACAGTGGGTGTTAAGGTTGTCACTGACTTCACAGGATTTAAAACAAGTATTAAAAATAATCCTTTTAATTATTTAATATTATTAAATATTATCTTAGTCTGTCCAGTTACTAAAAAAACGAGGGCTTTGTGAAAACCCTTGAATTACAGTCTGCACTTCGGTCAGATCTTGATTGTTTGATTGAAAATCCCCCGTGATGGTGTACAGAGGTATATTTAATAAACATCCGGCTTTGACCTAACTGCCTAATTTGGAATAAAAAAAAAGTGGAGCTGTGTGTAGTGAAAGACACATTTAACTCTAAATTTATCTTACTATAAATAAATAAAAATCTCTAATTCCTACTGATCAGCTACAGTTTTCATTTTCCAAGAATGAGTTTTTTTCATCAAAATAATTGCAGTTGTTAATAAAATAGATTTTAAATTAAGCATTTTTTTATTTTTATCTAAATGTTTAAATCTATCTTGGGATTATTATTTTTTTTATTTATTTATTTTAGATTTTGCTAGTCATATTTTTCCTTCAAGCAAATAATCAGATAAACTCCAGAGGCAGTAGTTCCTGGTGCTGATGCTTGATCTGACAGGTGCTGTTCAGTAGGACAGGAGGAAATATTAAAACCCAAATCCAGGAAATCTTAACTACAACCATCTTATTTCAGTCGCTAAAAATGTTTTTGTTTATTTTGTAAGCCAGTTGGCCTCTGGTCAAGTTTCAGTTACAATGGTCATCAGTAATGAATATAAAAGGGCACGGGTGTGTATTGAGTTTTTGATATTTGAGTGTGGTTTTAAATGCATTAAGTTGTGAAATCTGTAAGATCGATCGGCTTCTTGTGCTTTTATTGCTGTAAAGTGATACCTGCATTACTTTCTTTGGTTGTGGGATACAGTGCTGAAGAATACACACTCTCTCATTTAGATTTTTGTAGAGAAAAAGGTGAAAAAGCCTCAAATTGCTCAACTGAGCCCCTGAGACTACTGAGGGGCTTTTTCTACTCTCTAACGTGGCCCACATCTCCACCTAGTGGATACTTGGGAAGTTGCCCACTTGAGGTAGTTCAAACATCCACTTATTTAAACTCAGCGATGAGGAGCAGAGTTGCTCATGTTTTTATTTTCAGTCCTGATATTCATTTCAAAGAACATGCAAGCCACTTCCTGGTGATCTAACACATCCTTCTAACTAGGAAGCTTTCTAAACCAGATGGATCTCTTTTTCGTCTTTTTCTCATGTGGTTTTGGTGAACCCAGCAGGATGACCAGAGGGAGTTTGATTACAGGCTCTCTTGACAGAGGGACATCAAGGGTAACCTGTACAAATAAAATAAAGATACTTTGATTACTTACATTCTTTTTAAGTTGTGTCTGATTTTGCCTTTAATCAAAATCTACTTCTTCTGTAGACTAGATTGTATAATGCACTCTGTGTCTCCACCACAGGACCAGTGTTTACTGAAAGCACTGGCTTAAATCTGTTTGAGCGGATGGCATGGAACAGGTTGGACTGCAATGTGACGCTTTATGTGGTCTCATCAGTGTGTGGACAAGCCATGAGGAAATCTCCCCTTTCCTCCCTCTCACACTTCCTGTCCCCAGTATGCAGCCACTGTGCGGTGCTGTTATCGCTGTGCAAATGTATCCCAAAAAACCTCAGATCTCATTTGACTTATTGTCTCAATGTTACACTGTTTCATCTTAAAATACGGTATTATTCTGTAATGTAACCTGGTGTAAGGCCATATCATTATACTATGTCTTTAAACACAGTCTGTACCTTGAGTCGGTACTCCAGCTTCATCATGCAGCAGTTGAAGAAGGTAGGAGGGAGCTGCGGAGGGATACTAAGAACTTTGGTGGTGGTCTGACTGGTTTCAGCCGGAACAGGCTCTCCTGTCCCAAACAGGATGTCATTTGTGTGCACTTTCCTCTTTGACTGAGCAACAAAGGTCTGCTTCTCACACAGGTAGAATTTGGGTATTACTGCATGTGCTGAATCATTGAGCACTTCCACAGAGACTCCCATTGCCTCACCTGTGTATGTTTTAAAAAAAAACACATTATTTATGTCTCAGTTAACAAAATTTAGGAAAATATAGTCTGTGAGACATCAGTTTACCTTGCTTTAATCCCATTTTTTCTGAGGTAACATTCATAGTTACCTTTCCAGAGCCATAAAATGAAATCCTAGTTGCGTGTTGTTGCTCCTAGTACAATAATAATAATTTTTTAAAAAAAGGCAATGAAGTCATCACACATTTAGGAGAGCTGAAGTTAAGATCAGTCCAAAAAAAAAAAGTTGTTTTTTTTTTTTTGTCTTTTACCTGAAGTCCAATGATAATCATTTCTGATTTGGAGGCAAAGGGGAACTCAGACTTGGTCCGAAAAGGAAACTCAGTCTTGGTTTTGTGTACAAGCCAAATCGACTGAGTAAGCTGTGCTCGCAAACTGTATATGATCCTGCCCCATTTCCCTTCATAAGATGAAGGCATGTCTCTGAAAGAACACAGAGGGAAATGATTTCATTCAAACATATGGAAAGAAAGTGTTTACATAATATAGATTTATTATTAGAGATCATGTTAGAGGGGAACACATACACATCTGGAATTACAAAGTTGAATGAATACACATTCCTCCCAGGGCTGATGGTTACTGAACCTTATAAAAAGAAACACTTTATGTTACCTGTATGTTCGTCAGTATTTATAACAGCAATTATATATCTATCAGCTCAGAAACTTTACTGGGACAATACTAACCATCTCCCTTTTTATCTTGAAGAATAATGTGCTCAAAATAAAAGTATTTCTTCTTGTTGCTGTGGGCCACAATATCCTCTCCTTCTTTTTCATGCCAAGTTACCTTAGCCTTCCCTTTGGCTTTGACCGAAAAACACTGCACTTTGATTTCCTTGCTGGTCACCACTATCACATTTCCAGAGAGGATGTCCCCGGGGGAGAAGGTGCCTTGTTCGTTCACCTTGTTGAATTCCACAAAGAGATGCTTGACGGTCATTAGAAGGATATATCAAACAGTCTTCTTATGGAGTGAAAGTGAGAGAATCCTCGTTTGGTTGAAATTAAATCCCAACAATTTACTGCAAGCAGGTTTGACTTGATCCGCTGAGATGGAGTCTTTCCTTGATGAATAAGGATGCCAGTAAGGCAGGCGTACTCAGTGGAGCAGTGGACCTTCTTCTGAAGCTGTATCTGCGTCACACAGTATCATGTGATCAAGCCTGCAGGTGTTGCTTTCACAAAGGTAACTCTAGCCTCTACCTGTGTCACTGGTAATGGTATCGTATTGTATTACTTAATGATCAAGCTAAATGATGAAAAATTGGTGTAGAAAATTCAAACAACAGATTTTTGAGGGCAACATGATGTCACTTTTGTGTTGATTTTTATCAGATGACTGTTTTTTTAATGTTCTAATATGACGTTAAAGGTGAAAGATTTTGAATGTGTTTGAATACTCAGTCACAATAAAATTAATTTAACCTTATCCTAACCATAAAAGGTACATAAGATGGAAACTTTGTTTTGAATTAAGTGTTAAGAGTGAAAGTCTGAAAACAGAGACCAATCCAACTTGTTCAGTGTGTCATACTGCATTTGATATACAGTGTTTAAGCAATAAAACTTAAAAAATTAATAATTAAAGGTTTTAGCACAACTTTGTGTGAATCAGTTTAGTTAAAAAGTGCTGAAATACACTAAATCATTCACCTGACAGTCAAAGTGCAGAACTGAAATTCACACAGAAGAACTTGAAAACTAGCTCAACATCTTGAAAATGTACATAAGAAAAACTGTCTAATGACAAAAGAAACTAGCACACATCTGAATAAATATTGAATGCTCATATTCTTTAAATCACAGGAAGACTTGGAATATCTATTTTAAATGTCTAAACTCAAGAATCTCAAATGAAAAAGCTGAATATTTTCAGTGTGTATGTGTGTGTGTGTGTGTGTATCAGCGAGTGAGTGACATACAGAGAAAGAGCCAAACTGACATCAAATGACCAGGTAAAAGAGTTTTAAATCTTTAAGTGTTTTGTGGGTTTTATTTTAATACTAACTGCGTTTTAGTGGGGAGATAATCTACACAGACTAAACACAGAGACAGTAGATTACATTAGATCAGTTGAAATGTGGGAGAATTCTCCACAGACAGGTAAATGGTTTCACTTCTAATCATACATAATTTTCCAAGACTGTAACTCTGGTCAAAATACTTTTTGAACCATGTGGGTCCCGAGGACTCCCTCAAATAGTGGGGTCTTTCCTGCTGTTGAAACAAGCTCCTCACTGAAAATACAATATATCTTTATGGGTCTGTTAGAAAGTACTCCCTACACTTTGATCCACACAGTTCAAAAAGTTAACATCTCAATACCATCATCATCGAGAGTGGTAGTGGGGTACGTCGCATGTGCTCCATAGGGAGGTGGAAGATCTCCACAATGGGGTGGTGTTTGCTGGGGTGTAGTTCCCCAGGCTGGATTTTCTGGGTTCCTAAAAGTGTCAAATCCAATGCCAGCAGAAGCATGTGGTTGTTTCACAACCGCAGGCATGATAACTATAGGAAGTTTGAGCTTTGGATCAATGGAACATTTGATTTTCAGTTGGACCTGTGGAAACAAAATAACACACAAACAGTATTGTTTAGCTTTGTTTGTTTGTTTCAGTGAATGTAGATGTTGATTTGCATGATTAGGAAGTATTTATATCAGCAGGGCTTTGTTGTTGCCCTGTTTTGTCACTAGAGGGCTCCCGTGCTTTAATCCAAGCTTCTCACTCTTTGTTTTTTTCCCCATTAATGTTTGCACTTGCCTCTTAATGAGTGCTTTTCTTCCTTTAAATGGAAGTACTTTAGTTCCTTTGAGTACTTACATCCTTTGTTGTATTTCCTTTTGTGAACGTTAAAAAGACGATAAAAAGAAGAAAACCAGTTTTCCAAAAAAATGATTTGTTACAGTTACCTGTGACAGAAAAGAGGCGCCACTAACCAACTAACAGCCCAAATAAAACAACCAAAATAAAACAAAGACAAGCCATCCAAGCTTCCTACCATTAGTTATATTACTTAAACAGTACTCAAGTACACAAACAAAAGGACAGCTCTACAAGTTGTTTACCTTCAGCATGTACTCCAGGTTGATGATGTGGCTGTTCAAGATGGAGGGGGGTAGGTCTCTAGGGATGGTGATCACCTTGGTCACAGTTTTTCTGCCAGAAGATGCTTCAACAGCCTCGGCCTTATCCTTAAGGATGTCGTGTGTGTAAACTGTCCTCTGGCCCTGGGCGAAGAAACTGTGTTTCTGATACAGTATGAATTTGGGCTTCACTGTGCGACTCGAGTTGTTGTTGATTTCAACTGTGACCACGAGAGCTTCGCCTGTAAAGTACAGAAAGTTATCCTGTATAAATCACTTCCAAGCACAGAAAGACATTTCCTGACACCTACATAATATCTCTCTACAGGAGCTATAAGTTCCTTTCAATAATCAAAGGATCAGTTCCACAGAAACACCCCTCACTAAATCATGCACACTGGTTTCCTGTTTACAAGCACTTTAAGTAGCTGGGAGCTGGGATGAAATAAAGCAGTATTTTTAAATGATGGGAAGTATCATTTAAAAATACTGCTTTGTATGAGGAGTGAAAGCGCTTTACTCAACCAAACTTATAGTCACTTTCCAAAAAATAAAAATAAGGGAGAGGGCAGAAATACTGAAAGGCAGTAAGCCAAGTAAAGATAATTACCTTGCATGTATCCCATCCGAGTGGTATGGACATCTACTGAAACCTTTCCAGAGCCCAAAACAGATTTATCCTTACAAGTATACTGAGGTTCCTAAAAAGCAGACGCCCACATTATAAATGTGCTTTAAGGTAATGATCTCGTCTGCCTGAACACTATCAATTATGAAATTAAATGGTTGTTGTTGTTTTTTTTAGGATTAATGATTTCTTACCAGAAGTCCAGGAATACCCATGTCTGCCTTGGACACAAAAGTGAAGTGGGCCTTGGTTTTTCTTGTAATTGATTGTGTCAGCTCTGCTTCCACCTTATGAACAATTTTGCCATGGGCTCCTTTATAGGTTGATGGCAGTATTCTGTAAAATACAATACAAAAACATTCAAATGACCCATGAAGAAGCAGAATGTAAATCTAAACATCAGATGAGGAAAAGAAGAGGTACCCATCAGGAATCCTGAACAAAAAAGGAAACACATGCATTCCTTTTTCAATTACTTCAGTGCCTGGAAAAGAAGTAGGTGTTGTTTTGAACAGTCTGTTAAACAAGGAACAATGTATCACATGTCAGCAACTGTGTTAATTCAATACATCACCATCGTGTCTTGATTCTCTCAAGATATCTTGTTGGATGTCATAATATGTCTCAGTAGCCCGGTAATCGCGGTAATCACCCTCTCCATAATTCTCAGTCCAGTATACGTTCGCTCTTCCTTGTCCACTAAAAATCAGCGATTGGATTTTGGTTTCACCAGACACCTCCACAATAATTCTTCCATTAATGACATCTCCATTCGTGAAGGTGTTTTTGCTGTTGATGGCATCGTATTCGATTGAGAATCTTGTAATGGTCATTTTCAGATGGCAAAAAGTGGGATAAAAAAAAATCTGTTGCAAAAAGTAAAATGAAATGTATTTTCTTTCGAGGAACAGAGCATTCCTTCTTGGACCATTTTAGGTTAGCACAGCATAGATCTGGGCTGTTAGCTGATCTCGAGACTGATCTCCAGTGTGACAATGGGTGTTAAGTTACTGACTGGAAACAGTCTTGACTATAGGCAATACAATCCAGTCATATTGTATTGTGTGAAAGCAATGTGATGCAGTATAATTACTAAAGGAATATTTTTGAGGGCAACATAGAACTACTTTAGGCACCTTTTTTATCAAATCAAGATTTTTAATGGACATACTGGTGAAAGCTTTTAATTGTGTCTAAATACTAAAAAAGTCAAAAATCTACTTTAAGCAACTCTTTCAAATAACAAAAAACAGCAAACATCCCTTAACCTTCATCTGACCATAAGAAGGGAATAGTATCCGACCCTTGCTTTGGATTAAGTGCTATAACGACTGTAAGTGTTACAGTATAGCTGCCTGGCAGACAGGATGTGATGAGTGTAGAAATAATAACCAAAATAAAACAGGAAGAGAGGCACAGCTAAA